GGAAGCAGGAATGTTTTGACAACCCATATCTTCCCTACCCCCTTTTCCCACCCTCAGACAGACACAAATCCATATCCTGAGGAAACTCACATACAAAGAAACACAAATAAATGCTGAATGTAATTCTCACTCGGAATTGGCCACCATCTCCATCATCAAGTTCCAAGATATAACCCTCCACTGGGTTGTGCGTCAAGGGTGGCATCCTCCAGGCCAATGTCACACTGTTGTTTCTGGTGCAACACTTCTCCAGCTGCAGCAATGGGACGGGTGGCACTGTAACAGGAACTGGGTACAGATTAGTGTAACTCTGTCCTTCCCCATCAATCTGTGCTGCAAGCAGTGTGGCTACTGCTCACCGCCCTCCCCTTGCAGGGGAGTCAATAGTCACTAGGAAAAGGGTCCATTCCCCTCCTTGAAACAAAAGGCAGTAAAAATGATATAACAAAACATCATTACTTGGTTAGACAAATCATTTGGCTGAAATACATAAGCAGAAACATACCTGGACATGCTTCTGGTGCCTCATAAGAACTACAGTCTGGGGACCTCATGTCTGGTTCCCCTCCCAGGGGTCAGTGGCTGCAAAAGCTTCTCACACTAGAGCACTTTGCTCCTGCTGTCCCCCAAAGGAAAGGGGAGCAATGGTGGCAGGAGGTGTCCTGGGCCACGGGGAGGCATGGGGGGTGCAGTGTTGCCAGGAAGCCCAGCTCATTGATAAAGAAATTGGATTATTAACCAACCTCCAAGCACAGCGGCAAGATAGAGCCTGAACTCCACCGATAGCAGGAAAACAATTCTTCACAATAGGGTTTTGGGGTTTTTTTAAATCTAATCTAATACCTCTCCCCCAGTTTTTAATCAAAACCACCTTGTATGTGATATGTTTATGGCAGCCATACTTAAAAGAAACAGTTGAAAAATATTAATCCATTTGCAAATTTTATCTAAATCCCTTGATTCAGATAGAAAAAGGAGACTGCTTGTGGCGCTCTGCTCTCAGAAACTACAGATGCAAAGTTATCTATTAACACGCCTTTTTAGTGATTTGCTTAGGAGAAACACCAGGAGACTGTTGACCAGACCAGCGTCTTTAAAATAAAAATAAACAGAGTAAAATATTCATTACACAGTGAAAATCCAGTCTTCTAGAGACATTTGGCATGTATCTTACACACAGTTGGAATTGCACAGGTTAAGTGGGGATGTAAGTGATGCATAGACTCTGCCGCATCTTCTGCCCAAGGCTGAATTTTACCAGTCAGGATCATTTCTGCAGAGCTCAACCATGTCTTACAAGGAGCTGAATGCTCTGAGCATTCATTGACTTAGCTTTTAACAATGTCAGTTTGCTCTTCTTTTATCTACTCTGCTTTGAGCCTCTAGTTTATTTTCCTCCCTCTTTCTGCGTGAGAGCTAAGCCCTTGAGCTGTTCCTTTCGTCCTATTTTACCTCTCTGGATAAAAGAGGACTGTTCGTGTTTTGTGTAGCAAGCAGTCTGTGGGAAAATGGATGCTACTGTGTGACATGGCTAAAGCTTCATCCCCACTTTGGCAGTGGCATGAAAATCAACATCACACATGATAAACAGTGCAGAAGCTACCGTGGCTTTCTGCTGGCATTATCCATCACTGCAGTGAATGCGGATGGTTGGTAGCCCAGAAGAATAACTGTGGTCTATTTTATTTATAAGTTAGCTCTTGAAGGTTTTTCTGTGAAAAGAGAAAAAAAGCACCTTGCTCCTATGCCTTGATATTTGATGATGATTCAGAAGGTGTCATAAATAAAAACCTGCTTGTTTTTCCACATGGAAAGTTCAGACTTTTCTCTAGGAGACAATGTGTCTGGAGAAGTTAACAGAAATGTGACAAGAGTCAAAAAAACCTGAAAATGAGGAGTTCAGAGGTAACGGGATTTCTTAAGTGAACCATTTTAAGACTAGGGTTTTGTCTGTGTTTGTTAGGTTCTCTGTGTCCTGTGATTGATGACCCTGGGAGAAGATAGGGCTGTATTCTCCATCCACACTCCTGCCACTTTGTCTAACCGGTTAACCCTTCCAGCAGGCATTCACTGGGTCCTCCCCATTTTGAGACTCCTCCTGGCAAAACTGGATGAAATCCTAATTCCCAATCTTTATAAAGTACAGAACACCCCATCACCTCTGAATAAACCACTAATCTCTACAACCTCCTGCAAAAGCCTCCTAGAAACACTGCCTGGAGGTGTTCAGGGACTGTTTACGTAAAGCACAATGAATAAAAAAGGAGCAGAATTTTTGGGGGAGGGTATATGTTTTAGGAGTCCCTTTTTACGGGACATATTCTAGGACTAGAATATGTTTTCATATGGTAAAGCGCTGTTGTTCCCACCTCCCAGGGGCAGTGTGAATTTTGGCCCTACATGTGAGAGTCACACATACTATGGGGAAGTTCCTGGGCTTCTTTATTGTGTCGCTGGACATTTAAATTTTTGTGAATAATCCTTATCAGCCTTCTGACCCCTTTGGGCTAGCACAACCTACAGTAGCTGAAGGAGAGGTAAGAAGCTCCCACCAGGCAGCTGTGCAGCTTAGCTGGATGGCGCTTGCTGCGGCTGCCCTTCTGCCTCCTCCCCTGGATGCAGATGGGCAGAGATTTGCCTTGATCTCAGACTCCCTCTGGGAGGAGAAAAGGTGAATACTTGTTGTAAAAGTCATAGGAAAGTGCAAAGCAAGTTGAATAATTGGGACACTGGCATATACTTCACAGTGAAGGGCAATGGGACAGGACTAAGAAAAGAAAAATACAGGCTGAGTGTCAGGAAAAAAAAGAAGACTCACATGTTAAATTACAGCGCTGTCCCACTTTTGTTTAACTAAAGGTCCTCTAGAGAGTTTTTGAAGGAAAATATTGAAAATATAAAGGGACAAATGATACTGCATTGGCACAGCAATATCTATTAGTGAGTTTGAATGATATCCTGCTATTTTAAAAGTGCTTCATGCACTTAGCTAGAAAATGTGATACTGATGTCTCATGTCAACTCAGCAGCTTCATAAACACATTGCTCAATGTCTCTCACAGCTGATCTCTCAGGATAGCCGGGCTACCCTAAGATGCTATCTGTTAATTGTCCTCTTGACAAGCAAGTTGTGCAAGGATGCCCTCCCCAGATTAATTTTTAAAGGATTAAATGCAGGGACTCTCAGAAACATGAAAACTTCAACCTTCTTCAAAACTGCCGTATGACCCTCTAATAGCCTGAGTCACTGCTGTAGAAAGTACCCTACAAATAGTGTTATAGAGAGTGAAGGAAAGACCACAGGCAAAGATCTGTGTCCATCACGCAGTGCAGCCAAAACCAGGGACAAAGCCTACAGTGGAACAGTTACTCTTTCATTATCAGGGCTGTGCAGCTCATGGCTGGAGAGGCAAAGATTTGCAACAGGAGATATGTCATGGACTGGTTTGCAGAAGAAGGAAGGAGTCACTCCTGACAAGGAGAAGTTGCACGTCAGTGGGTATTCAGAGGTGATACAGAGAAATAGAGACAAGCTATATTTTTTCCTACTTTGTACCTAGTCTCTGTTTTGCAACAAAACAAGGTTGCATGACAGTTCCAGCTGTTCAAACAGAACAAACCTGGAACATGTATTTGTCTGTGCCCACAGCTTGAACTGAGGAACTGTGATATACACATTGAGCCAGTCATCGAAGAGGACAGGAATTTTGTGCTAAGGCACTTGGAAAAAACAATAGAGAGGGGAAAACATGGACAGAGGAAAGGGATCTGGGAAAGCTTAGAATAATAGCAATTACTAGAGCTGTGTATGTGTCTCAGCCAGCTACCCTGGTGAGCATGGACTCTCACCAAAGGGCTATCAGTGAGACCCTTGGGTCAACATGACTGCTTAATTGTTACTTTTGCATCTATCATATTTCCGCACATTTAATTCGCTACCAGATTGCTTTTTCTTTCTGTAAAAAAGATCTTTATTTATTAAAATAAGCTTTAGATAAGGGCTTATAGAGAGTCCACCAGTGAGGTACATGAACAAGTCATCAAAGCAAACACAATGTGATTTGTTCTCATTTTCATTCTTCTTTGTCTACCACAGTGAATCAATGTTTACTTACAAGCATGCTTTCACTCTAAATGACCCATGCAAGCTCACTGAGGTTGAATGAGGCCAGAGTTTGAAAAAAAATATAGAAATTCACTCATGCACTAAGCATCAATAACAATAGTACAGACCCTATATTGCAAAGCTTTTGGAACAAAACAGCTTGCAGCTGGAAAAGCCACACTGGTCCTATTCTCCTAGGTTTCCCTAAAACTCCCTCTGCAGTCTCTGATGTCTTTAATGCATCCACTTTTCTCAGATGAACCAGTATAGTGACTAAATAACAATCCCCTTAATACCTGACATTTGGCAAAGACTGATGTCTTGGTGTGCTGGGGTAGGTAGGTTTGGAGAAAGAGGGGCATATGTGAAGGGACACACAGATTCTTCTTTGTGAAACTGGAGGCACAGAAATATACAATCCCGATAGTGATAAATAGCAAAACATCACCCTGCTTCTCCTCACAGTCAGCAAAGTGATGTTCCCAGTAAGTCTGGTGCTCACTGCTGAAATGTTGAGTACTTGTATTTCTAGATGCAAGACTCACTATGCATGAAAAGGTAATGCAGAGCTAGTTGAGGTCATGGAGGTAAAATGTCAGAAAAAAAAAGTGCCAAAGTTTCAGACTAAGTAGTTCAAATGCAGACAGAATCACTGACATAAACTGAAAAAAGTAAAAATACACCTTTACAAACTAAACAGTCCTCAATACCTATGAATGTAAACTCAGGACCAGTGAGTGGCTTGTTCTGCTTGGGCACACATTGGCTCAAGAGGAAATAATGCTGTCCCTTAGGCATCTTCAGGAACTGTGGCCAGGTTAATGCCATTTCCACCATTCTTTGCATGGTGTGTACACGTTCGCACCAGTTGTGCTGACCAACTGGATGGGACATGCAAAAGGTAGTCCCTGGTCAAGGCCAAGACAGATCAAGGAAAAGCCCTTCATGAGGGCTAATTGTTAAGGTGCCTCTGGGGAGCAAAGCCCAAGGGTGTTCAAGCAGACCTGTCCTCTCCTCTGCTCCTTAGATTGTCTAAGCTCAGAGCTTCACTGTGATCATATGATAAATGAGAGTGTAGCAAACAGCACTATCTTTCATAAAGCTTCAGTGAATCTGGCTCAATTAAAGTCTCATAAGTCTTCAAGCTTAAAGACAGATGAATGTCCAAAAGCCAAATACTTAAGCTGCTCTTACCTCAAGTGGCCTCTGGTTAATTAGCACTCTAACTGGACAGTTTAACTGCATTTTTATACATTTGGGAAGGACAGTGGTGGAAGATTAATATTAAATATATTGAACAATTAATATGGCCAACATGAAATATAAACCGATTTAAAGACAAGTGAAGACAGTATTCAAAGAAGTTTTACCAGTGATACTCTTTTTCTCTTGCCTCTGCTTTCCTGGCTGTCAACATGTCAAAGGAGCAGTTCACAGGTGTTATTTGAGTAACTTTACCACAGCCTGTTTATGCCAAGATGCAAACCATTCTCTGTGAGCAGACTTTGGCCCTTAACTCTTTATCCATTGTTTCTCCACATATTCATCTGCCAAATTATCCACCCTAATTACTTCATCTTGGGTCTCTTAGGTTCAGAATGAGGCCCAGAGAGAAGACATAAACTGAACAGAAATCTTTATGCTTGCTTGGAGTCAAAAAAAAAAAGCAAATCCGACATCACAACACGATTATCCTTAACTCATTCATTGACTTCTGGCAGCCTCTACTCTGTCACTCGATGTATAATTAAGGCTTGAATTAGCACTAAGGGAAGCTAATGGCATCGTTCCCAGGGACCACAATGGCCTTCAAATCTAGCTGGTCTATGGATCTATCTAATTCTGATGCAGTTCTCATCCTGCTCCATATAAAACCAAGCTCATTACAAGTGCATGCTGTTAGCATCTTTTTTCTTTGCCAGTGGCATTTACTGTTCATCAGCTTCTCCCTTTAAATACGTTTTAAAATCTCCTTTCCCTTTAGTGTGTCTCTTGGAATTACTCAGATACCTGGAATCAAGGAGAGGTTTAGCCATGGAACTACTTTCCCCTTGTGAATGTCTGCCTCATTATTTTTTTTTAAGCTGGGCACAGTTCACAGCACAGTCCACATATAAATCAAAGGGTTGGGGTTTTTTTTCCCCTATTGAAGCATATGTGTGTGTGTGTGTAATATTCATTTACTAATTCAGCTGCTTCTAACAAGATTGGGGTAATTTGGTAATTTGAACTAACTGTGTTAATTCAAAGAATGCTGTAAAATGGCATAGTTTCACGCAGCAATGTCTTTTTAATCTTCAAAGCTGATAAACAGCTCTCCTCTGAAGAATTTATCGATATTCTCAAATCTTTAACTGCATCTGGTATTTCTGCTGAGCTTGTTCAGTGAGGTGAGCACACCTCACTGTGTGGAGGAAACACCCAGTTATCTGAATTTGCTTGAAAACCTTTTACAACTATCCAGCAATTTCAAGACACTCCTTTTTCTTCCCTTGGTGCCCCTGTCCCTCCCAGCACCAACTTAACATGTGCATGAAACCCATTAAAAAATAAAATAATAAAAGCTCACCCCTACATTTCATCTGAATAAAATCCAGCTGGTGAATTGACTGCAGTAAAGGTTCACTGTCCAGAGTCAAGTCAAACTCAGCAGACACTTTTGGCTCCAAGGCTCCTTTGACCCACTGTTCCTGAGATACCTGAACGCGCTTGATTAAAGCATCTGAAATCTGAAAGAGAGTTATCAGGCTTATATATTTATATTATTCATAATGAAATGGCAGATGCACACAGTAGAAGTGACAGAATGCCTGGGAGATACAGCACAAACAAAGCAGGAACACCACAAAACAACAACTTAGATGGGATTTGGTTGTTTTGGGGTAAGGTCCATTTATGTTGCATCCTTTCATCTTGTCTTTTCAAAACAGATCTCATCTTAGTGCAGGAAAGTAAAAATCACATTTATAAAGCCTGTTAATATTGTCTTATGTTGCATGCCTCTGAATTCCACATATCTTCCTGCACTCTGATCTGCACAGTCTAGTTTTGCTCTCCTATTCAAAACGCAGTTGCACAAAGAGAGGCTTAAATGTTAGAGGGTCTCTCCATTCAGTACAGATGATTCAGTGGATGAAAGCTGAAAGGAATTTAAAAAATCACATGGGAAGAAAGGTGTATATTTCTTACAGTGAGGGTGCTAAGTTGTCAAAGAATATGATGGATTTTCTATTATCACATCAAAACTGAATTTCATTTTTAAAGCTTTGCTCTAGCTCAGCCCACAGACAACTAAGCCAAACGTCAGTCTAAGGTGATTGCAGTGGACTCTTCTGGAAGTAAAATTCTGGCTCTGTGAAAATCATGAGCTCAGCTGCCCTTGAATTCAGTGAAGCTGCCATTTGGATATCTGGAGACCTTCCCAGTGAGCTGCCTGTAAGTCACGGGGAGCAGAATTTTCTTCTGGCTAGGTCAAAGACAATTTTTCTTTATCACAGGAGTTCAGATACCTTTTCTCATTACTGTTACTGGAAGACAATTCTGTTTGAGCCCCTGCATCAACAGCTCCTAATCAGTCTGTGCAGTAAGTGGAGGAGCTTCTCACAGCATTCTTACATCCTTGGAGTCACTTACTGGGATGCTGGATCCCTGAGCTGTGTTCAACATACTGGCTGCAGGAGTAGTTGCTCTAAGTAATGCAGTGCCTCAGTGTTTGCTGATTGCCTTGAAAGCATCATCAGATAAACCAGGAGAAGGTGATGAACCCACAAAGGTACAGGTTACACGAAAAGTAAGCTGAAGTGCAAATAAAGCAGGTATCTAGCCAACATGTAGATAAGACCAACATGTAGATAAGACCTAAAGGTTTCATTTGTCATGCAGTATCCAACCGACAGCCTGCTAAAATCTGTGTAGTCTTGAGATTAATATACACCACACATTCCCCACTCTTGATTGAGACTAGATGTGACAGTAACAATCAATCTGGAGTGCTAATAGGTTTAAGTTGGCTAATTCTCATCCTGTTTTTTAGGGATGCAGTGATAGCCCCCAACACTTATGCATTCATGTGTGCAGTGTGCCCTGTTCAGCTGACAGCCATGTGCAGATCATTTTGTCTGATGTGCCTTTCTTCTGAGGCAATTAATAAGGCAACAAAACTAACAGGGCAAAATAAAATAATTAATAAAAATAATATCATTAATTAGGCAAAATAATTTATTGGGTAGTAAAACTGTTACGTTTTACCTCATCAATAGACAGTTTCACTGCTTGCACCTAAGAAACAATATCCTGCAAACTAAGGCAGCTGTTGGCTAGGCCATATTTTGCAAAGAGGGGGTACCTGGATCTTCCAGCTACAAGACAGGTTTTGTTGCCCTGTGAGGTGCAACAACCCCAGTAAAGCAAAGCGGTGTGACCGCTAACTCCACACCTTGGTCAGAGCATGGCTGTTCAAAATCATCCCTTTGCTGGGACATTCATGCAGCCATCAGGCTACCTGACAATACTAACAGGAGTTAAGGTGAACCTGCCTCAGCAGTGGAAGAGGCGAATTAGCAAAGCCACCCCTTTTTAGATTTAACTTTAACATCTTGTCTTTTTCCTCCCCAGAACATCAGAAAGAAAAATACCTGTAAAAACCCAGAGGGATCATTTTCTTTGATAACTTCTAGGCAGTACTCCATAAGCCCTGTTGACTGACGTAGCTTCAGTGTACAGTGATTTATCTGGTCCCAAACAACCTGGAAAACAAGCATCAGTACAGTTCTGATGACTGCCTGAGCTTACAGTGAATTGTGTAAGATTATTTCAGAAGAGACAGCAAATGGAAGAGTGTGTTAAAGCTATGCTTAATTTAGCTGCCATATGGCCATTGCCATATCTCCATCAGCTACACTCACTCGCTCTGTATTATAAATACCGATAATTAGCTTGGCAAAACGTTGTGCACAGGGAATCTTAATTTTCAGAGCAGATTAATTGCTCAAAGATCAGGCTTGCTTGGGGCAAAAAGAGCACAGAACATGTTTTTGCATCTGCAGTATTCACATTTAAAATCATATTTTCACTAAAATCTGAGCTTTTAAAAAATCCTTTGCTTAAAAGGCAAATATTATAGAGAATAAGTGCACGTGTGGTTTCTTGCAGATTATATTCTACTGTTCTTTTCACAATTCACCATTGATCCTGCTCTGCTTAAGAACACATTGCTGGGATTAAGAAATAAAAAAGGCTACATCTCAGTTTTCCAAACTTTGGACCTGATTCTGGTGCCACATGGCTGTAGACTAGGCCTAATAGCACTGCATTCAACAGCACAAGTCCTGACAGGAATAAACTGCAGAATGAGCTGCGCTGTTAGCGCTGTCCCCCAAGTGTTGGTTCTTGTTAAGTATGGGTGTTTTTAAATGCTGATCTCAGGTAGATTTTATTCATTGTTTGACATGTTAGATATTTCACTTCAATTTCTCCTTCTGTCTTACATACTATTATTGTTACTGGCACTGTAATACCTCAAAATCACATATGCAGTTCAACATTTCAAGAAATGTGTCTATTTAAACATTCTTGGCTGACACTTCGTTCAACCATTTATAGCTTTCTCCTCCCCACCACTCTTAATGCATTCCTTTAATATCTTTTGAGTGGCACATGGATTTCTGGAGATGGCTTGCCTCAATTTCAAAGGTTTGAAGAGACATCAAAATCCCAACATTTTACTTGGGCGGAAGGTCCCTGAATCCAAACCACACACCGGTTTCACCCTCAAAAGATAGCCTCAAACCATCAAATGAATAAAGACTGATGGCATGATTCAACAAACTGCTGGAATACACAGCTCATTCTAAGTGTATAAATTATTAAGTTCTATTAAACTGCTGAACTGGAACCTGCTAAAAGACTTTAGGATTTGGTCACTAGGAATTTTCATAGTGTAAAGGACACAGTAACAAAAGGTATCATCAGCTGTGCTCAGCTGGTGAGAGTTATGCTCACCTTCAGCTTGTGCTCACGTTCTTTGGTCACCTTTGTGAGCAGTTTTGCTTTCTGTCGCGTTAACGCATCAACCAAGGCATCACACTGGGCGACAAGGCAGGCTTCATAATCCAATCCATTCTCCTAGAATAAAGTGAGAGTTATGCTCATCAAAGAAATCGTATTTCACATCTTAAGCTTTTGCTCATTCTTACCTGTTTTTCTATTCAGAAAAGATTTCCTTTCAAGATCTCAGCATTTTGCTGCCTTGCTGATTTCATTACAGCTGTACCAGTAATAGCTGCATGCTATAAAACGAAACAGGAAGATGCTATGCTACAAATGGGCTCATTTAAAAACTTGATTTACTAGCACTTCCCAGACAACAGAAGTAGTACAACATAATGTAAAAGCTAAACGTAACTGTTCTGGGTTTGGCTGTAGCAGTTATTTTTCTCCTTCTTAGTAGCTGATGCAGTGCTGAAACATATACATACACAGTGCATACATATATATAAGAAGAATCTGCCCCATTCTGTTTTAATCATCCCACTGTAGCAACTTCGAAATCACTGGCTCTACACCACGGCAATTAGAATAGAATTATGAATCTGGTCTACAGGTTTATTACAAGGAAATCAATGAGGTATAAAGCCTTGAGATTTGTATACTGCTTCAAGTACTCTTTTAAAAATAGCTAGCACTTGGCAGCGGAGACATGTATTTGATCAGATTTAAAAAAAAAAAAGGAAATATATGGCAGGTTTTTATTCATATTGTGGTCAAACTCTTTGCTAGGCAGAGGCCAGCATGTGAGGTATACAACACTGAGCTTTGAGTAGCTGGGTATCACTCATCATTACATAAACCCCTGTCCTATCAATGGGGAACAAACCACGCTACCACAGAATCCCATGCTACAAGGTACTGATGATACTACAAGGTGCTGAGCTGTTCCTCCTCCCAGGGATGCTTTTTTCTGGCCGTGGAACTGATGTTGTAGTTCTTATTCGGGCGGGGGGGGCTCTCCCTTGCTTCCTCTGCTCATGAGACTAGAAGAATGAGAAAGCTTTCAAGCTCCTCTTCAGAGGAGATGTTCAGTTTCCTATCCAAATGCCAAATGGGAAAAAAAAAAAAAAAAAGCAGCACTAAATGTGAGAAGATTTTAAACATGTGCAGAAGGAGAAGCAGCTCTGTGGTAAGCCATCACACCCCCTTACTCATTACTACCCCTTAGCTCTTTTATTTATGTTTTCCTCTCCTGTTCAATTGCTTTGTCTTCATTCTTTTGAGAGCAAAATTCTCAGCACTGTGTTCACCTCTCTCACTGCAATCCATGCATGCCATTCTCCAGCTGAGGGATGCAGGGTCGCTCTTCCCTGAGAGGCCCTCATCGCAGTCCTAGACCTGCCATCAAGATGGATGGGGGCCGAGGCACCAGACAGCTCAGTTACTGTTCACAGGTTTGTCTTAGACTCTTCCTGTTTGCATCTCTCCCTCCTCGGCTTTTATCACACCCAACTCCCCCTTAAGCCCATTTCCATCCAGCTACCCTTGAAGTGCAGGTTTGCGTACAGGGCCTGAATTAGTCGATGGCTATAGTGCATAATTTCCCTCCTCATTTTCTATTCACACATCAAACATTTGGCGATGTGCCTCTTCAAGTGAGAAAGGATGAAATTGTTACAGCAGATGGGAAAATGTGAAAATCAGATCACAACAGCAACAAGGAGGAGCAAGGAAACAACAGGGGCAATGAGGAACAGGCAGCTTCTTAAAAGAAGAGACCAAAAGATTTAAAAGTGACCTCAGAAAGGAGAAGGGAAGGAAGAAAGTAGAAGGAAACAACAGGTCTGCAAAGCATGGAAAAGAAAAGTAGATTATGAATTTACAAACTGCACCCGGCAACATAAAAGCACAGGTCCCTGTAGCTGTGGCAAACTCAAGAGAGGAAATAGAGTACAGATGGCCGGCTGGTCTGCTGTGCATTGAGACAGGATAATAAAACATACAAATTACTCACTCATTTGTGTAAGCATATATTTTAAAGACATTTTTGCTGAGGGGTAAATGTGTGTGTGTGTGTTAGGCAACCATCGTAAGACTTTTATTAGAAATAACTTGCTCAAAGATACATGATTCTGGGTATAAATCTATGCATGAAGGCTACACCTATTCCTCCCTAAGTAACAGTCCAAGAACTGGTTTTTTGGTCCAGATGCCAAAAGGCACAGGTCAGCTCACGGACAGGTCTAAACCATTTCACCTCAAATAGTGTGGTTGTACCAAACCTGCCTACCAGGAGCATTCCCTGATATGTACTGTCACCAAATGCTGCTTGAACATCACCTGGGAAGAGTGCAATTCGCCATGGGAGAAAACCATGGCAGGGAGCTCATTAAGGGTTAAAGTGTGTGGCTGATGGTCTCAGAGCTCTGCCCAAGCCTTGTTTTACTTACAAATACATATGCAGCTGATTAGTCCTGCTGTTTCGGCCTGCTGAAATTCCATGTCCTCACTCAGACTCACAATGGAGTCTGGTTCAACATGTGAGGGCCAGATTCAGCTTTGTGCCCAGACATGCCTAAATGTCAGTGGGTGACAATTGCGTCTCCTGAGTTCTCTTCTAGTGATCAGCATTAAATAAATGGCTTGGTCTTTTGATCTCATTGTAGCAGCTCCCTTGTGCAGAGCAATTTGGCAGTGATTTTATTGAAACACTTTAAAGGATTTTACAGCATGGTCATAAATAGTCATAATAGACCACCTTTAGGTTTCAGGAGGGAAGAATACATTTTTAATAGAGCTAGATGACTCAAAACAAGATTGGTGATAGACTACTGTTTTGGATGAGTTATTCCATCCTAAATTAGCTGTGCATATCTATAGGAAGAACTGCTCTCTAAAGATGTCTATCTTTCTCCTTCGACAATGAAAGAAGTCTAAATGACTAGGTTAGATCAGCTACATAACTTTTAAATAGGTAAAGTCAGTTGAGAGAAACCTTACACTGTGTCCAAAACATGGCATGTGACAGGTATGAGTTGATGGCTTCACACTGGTTTCTTTGAGTTAGATGTGCTTTTTTCCCCACCAGTTTCTCGGTCTTGGTTTGTTCCCTTTCTCACATGTCCACAGAAGACTGTGAGGGTGGGTAGCTATGCTGCCCTGTGGCAACCTGAGAGCTTGGGCAGCTTTTGTGACACGAATTCATCATCAGGAGTGTTAAGTGGAATATTTTAATAATTAAATTCTAAAGAAATACAGATTTTTGAACTTCATTTTTTCTGTTACTAGCAGGCACAAGACTTGCTTGTTGATTGAAGATGAGTGAGCACCAGAGAGAGCATATTGTAGAGCAGATGATGTATATCCCACAAAAAACCCACCACCACAGAGCACCGCTACTGGGGATAACAAGTGTCCTCTCCTGGGCACTGTGCAGCTCAAACTATGGTGGCGCATTCCCAGCTATGCTCTGCAGGGTCAGAAGGACCTTGAGGATCATCTGATCTATAGCAGCGACAAGTCTAAATGTGGTTGAAAACAGGACATGTTTCGTTTTGGGTTTGTGCCTTTAATTACTGCATTCACCATGAGCCCTTTTCTGACTATGAAAGCTGGACAATTATAGGCATGAAAATACCTTTTACTTCAATAAATGACCACATAGATTTAGCAGCATTTGTTTCTTCTATTTTCGACTTCCTACAAATACCCTAATATACAGGTTGATTGGATTTTGTCCAGAAACTAGTACATTTTTAGAAAATGGAAGATGGAAAACAAGTAGTAAATTTTGAACGTGTTAAAATAAGAACTTATCCTAAATGCCCAATTCAAGCAGTTTTAGCCAGGAAGAAGTCCAGACACATGACCGATGGATTCAATCAAATACTAATCAACACAGCTTAAATGTCCAGTATTGAGTACCAGCTTCTTGCAATAAACAGCAAACAACTTAGAAGCTAAGAGGGGCTTGCAGGCATTATTTGATGAATAATTTGCCTAGCAAATCCATTCAAGAAAGGTTAGATGATTCCAGGAAATATGAGAATAGCACTGGAGACAAAGTCATCAAATGAATTATTCACTCAGTTCTATTGATTACTGTATTATGAAAACAGCTAATATTCTGCAGTTACCTGGATCTGCTGCAATAAATTTTTCAGCTGAACCAGAAATTCTTTTGCTTCCTTTGCTTTATCTGAAACACCATTTAAAGCCTGAGACAGCTGTGCCTGCAAGGGAAAAAAAAAAAAAAAAAAGAGAGAGAAAAAAAAGGAAAAATTAGAGATAAAATGCAAATGTGTTTCTTACTAATCCTTGGGTTTGATGATTAATAATGTGCTAAAAGGCTTACTTGGTGTCGCTTGTATTCTTAACGTACAGAGTGTTTGTGCTAGAAAGGAATAGTTAAAATTTTTATTGTAATAAAATTTAATAAAGGTGAAATTTGCATGTGGAGGCAATCAAGTATTGTGTCTGCACATTCCACTTTATTGCAGTAACTTGGTAAGTCAAAATACCTTTTTATAAGACAGCTACCCACATATATAAGGAGATAATAGTCTTACACTTACACAGTAGCATCTGTCATGCTGAAAAATCCCCAAGCGCTTTCCAAAATGTCACTTCTTTTTTTTCATCAAAGCATTAATTCTTTCTAAATGTGGTAGACCTTACCAAATTTGAGATACGCTATAGGACTTCAAACACAAATCTGCATTTTCAGACTTCATAGTAATGTCCCTTTGGGGCTCTATTTTCATATGCTCCAGTCCAACTAAAGAGCGGATATTTCTGGAGAAGTTGGAAAAAACCCTTCCTCTTAACTTTTTACATACGGAATATGTCTTTTGTAAGTACACACTGAAGACCTATGCTCCCCTTTCCTCAGCTGGCACCTGAGATCCCTAAGGCAAACCAGAGGCTTCTCAATGCACTTCCAAGACAGGAAGGAAACAGAGGTTCTGCCCCTGGCAGACCCAGAACCACCATGGTCTGACCGGAGTAGCCCTGATGCAGCTTCCCTGGAAATCTGGCTGCTATTACAGAAACCATATTGCTTGTCAGCCCATGGCAAGCCCAGATTCAGCATTTCTTCTCTACGCAGGTATAAGTGACCAGATAGGTCCCATTGTGAGTGTCCTGAGGGTTTGACACTCTGTGTTGGTCTACCTCTCAGGCAGACCTGGCAACTACCAGATTGCCAATGCCCAGTTAATTATCTTTACCAAACAGATACAATAACTGACAGCCAGAAATGGAAGATGGAGTATCTTTGCTATCATCAGGCTCTCAGAAGTTTGCCATCTCTTGTTTCCTTAGGACTAGAGTGTGCCTTGAGACAGACCCTTGTAAGTAAGAAGGCACAAAGGTTATGAGACTCCAAGAGGAGACCTGATTGAAATTCAGTAAGTCGCCACTCGTTCTCTGCTTCCCTCTTGCTCCTGGAAAGGAGTAAATCACTTCACCCCTGAAAATGGCACAGCTCACTTCTTCAGGTTGCCAAAGTTTTGAGTTTACCTCCTGGCTGAATGTCTGCCACTCATCCTTCCCTTGAGCTCACTCACTCACTCACGCAGGACAGCAATGAACAGACCCTGGCAGCTCCTCGTGGGCATTTCACACCCAGCTCTGAGGCAGGCAGCCTTATGCAGGCTGAGGCACTGCCTAACCCCTCACGCCTCTCTGGCAAGTGGGTACTAACCCTGAGTGGGAGCTGGGACTGAATTAGAGAGAAAGAAGCCATCCCAGGGTTTTTTGCTCATATTCATACAAACTTTGGACTTTTAGCCCAGTGGTAGGTATTACATTTGTGCTATATTTGAAAACAAAATATTTACTACAAAACTTTAGTACAACTCATTTGTAACAAACATAATGGGAGGACACATTACTGCGTCTGTTTCTCAGTACTTGCGTATTTTGCATTGTCTTAAACAAACTCTTGTCACTGCACAAAAATATAAAGCCATGATCTTTGGTATGAACACTACTGGAGATCACCAAAGCAAACTCCAGGTACTTGAAAGAGTCCCAGTCATGACTGGGGAGGAAGTGAGAAGGAAATAGGTGGCAAAAGCATGATATGCTCTGCCATTGACTGGCCCAGCCAAACCGGAGGCAAGGGATCCTTTCTTTCAAATCAAAACCAACGTCTGGTCAGATAAAAGTAAAACTGCCCCTTTTCCCACATCTACCCTAGCTCTCATGTTATCTCAAAGAGCGTTTCACCAGATACAAAGAGCTAAAAGCAGTACGTGGGCATCACAGCAGCCATAGAAAACTGAATCACCATAGACAAATTGTAACTGGCATATGTACTGATGGCAATTCACGCAGTCATTCCTGGCTCCCAGCACGCTCACAGCACTCCCAGCGCAAAAAGCTGCAATAGAAACGCAACAATGTCATTGTGCAAAGGGCTCATAAGTGAATTGCTGTGTTCATTAAAACCTGTGGTTGCAGCATGAAGCTGAGGAGAAGACCAGATCTCCATTTGTGAAACCCACTTAGAGATAATAGCCTTGTTTTTCCAAGCATTTGTAACGGATACCTTACAAAGCAGTGGAATTTAGTCATGCACTTCCCATTAAAATCAAATGGAGCTACATGACTAAGCCATCAGTAAACCAACAAAGCCATACAAAATGCCCTGTACCCTCAGAGCAATCTTTAGTACTGCAGAAATATTTACTGGAAGCCAAACTGAAAAGTTACAAGCTCCACTGACTGTGCCAATTAATAACTCCTGACAAACAGTATTCTACCCAGCGTTATCTTTACTTGAATACCTGGTCTTGGAACAAACAATGTGGATGCTGGAGATGGATACCAAGTTTCTACTTCTATCAAATACAGGAAAGCACAGAGAGATAACAAGGGTGAGTAATTAAACTCAGATGGGCATGGAAGACAGATGCTTCCTTTGATTTTAGAAAATCAACCAGATAATGCCCATGTCCTTTTTCAACCGAACAGTTCATGCTCATTTAACTTGTTTTCCTTCCATCTCTCTTTAGCAGCAGATTACCTATTGATTAGATAAGATCACACTGGCGCTGAATTCTGAAACAGCCCACATTTTGGGGAGAATACAATTCTTTAGGCCAGCATATAATAGCAAGCATTTGGACTCCAATACTTGCCTTCGATCGCCTGCCTGTTGCCCTTCACAAATTTACCCAGCCATGGCTTTTTTTCAGTGTTTCAATAGATAAATATATTTTAGCTTTGCCCAATCTAAATGGGTAAAATGGGACCACTGTCTGAAGTGTGTCCACTATCTGAAGCTGAAATGTGTCCACCATCACTTCTTTTATTGGTAGGTCAAGAGGCCTACCAACTTAAATCTGGCAACAGTGTCACTGTTCTTGCTATGAAGACATAAAAGGACTTATCTTTGGAAGAAGACTTACACAGTTTTACTTGATAACCTTAAACTGGTGGTCCAGATGCACTTTTCATGCAAGTGAATGTAATAAAATCCATCTAAGTTAGTGGATTTTCATAATTTTATGCCATTGGAACCCTGTTGTTATTTTACATCATTTCTAATTTCTCTGTAAGACAAGTTACATACAGCAGCATTGTGGGGAACCTGCACCATTAACAGGAACCAGTCAGTCCAGTTCAGCTTTCATGCCACACTAAAGCTGAGGGTAAATGACCATTTCATGGTGAGACACTGGAACAGGTTGCCCCAAGAAGCTGTGCCTGCCCCATCCCTGGCAGTGTTCAAGGCCAGGCTGGATGAGGCTTTGAGCAACCTTGGCTAGTGGAAGGTGTCCTTACCCATGGCAGAGAGCTGGAACTAGATGATCTTTAAGGCCAGTTCAAGCTCAAGCCATTCTATGATCCTATGATTTAATTGCATGGTCTGCAGCACTGTACAGACAAGGCAAATCACTCTGCGATTTGCCACTAGATCACTATAAAATGCCCAGACAAAGTCAAACAGTTTGAACAAAGGGCTAACCCAGAAGAGGAATGGAAACGGATCCTGTAGCTGAAGGTGAGCAAGGCTTCTCGAAAAGCAGCTCCACAGTCAGTAGAAAAAAAGTTTGAAGTTTGCGGTTGTGGGATGAAACTGAGAGGGGGGAAAATGGCTCAGCAGCCCTTCTTAGGTGAAGAATACCAGCCTCTGGCCTCAAAAGGAGTTAAGCAGGTGCTTATCAGCTGATGGTGAACAACTGTCAGTCTGTCAGATCTACTGAGCTAAGAACACTCATGGACAAGCCCTTCCAGCTGTCTCTACCAGCTACACTTGGAGCACCTGGAAAGAACACATAAAAGGCGAATTACATTTGGCGTACCATTCAATGTAAGTAACTTATGGTTTGGCCAAAGTAACTACAGGTAATAAACTTGTAGAAATTACTGTGCTTGAGAACTATTTCTAAGCAGAAGTATGTAATTCTCACACAATTTATCCGAATGAATGTGAGCTGATGATTTAGGCTGTCTGGCTATACAGTTCCATTATACTTATTTTCTTCTAAGCACATTGCTCTGGGAAAAGTAATATTCACAAGAGCACAATTTTAGAGTTCCCAAATTAGTTAATTTTGAGTAATTTTTTCTTTCACTAGATTTTCCACATTCATTGAGTCTGTAAATCAAGAGAAAATCACATTCTGTGTTACACTAGTTCCAGAAAAAAAATACCCACCAGAGTGTTGTTCATTCTTTTGACAATATTTGACAGTAGGAAAGAAAGAAAATTACTGACTCTGAATTTTGATTACACCAGAGTTTACCACGTTGTTCAAAAAGGCATCAAACAGTTTAACTTAAGGTAGACCATAATACAGCACAAGCTGATCTCTCACACTCTCCAGAACAGCAGCCACACTTGAACAGTGAACTCAGTCCCTGCTCATTGAAATAACTCTGCTCCAAAGTGGGTTCTGCCATTGGCATAACCATCAATAGCTATGATTTCACAACCTGCTCCATCTGGCTCCTTCTTCTCTGCACAAATAGCCATCATGTTAGGGAGGAGATGGCTGAGCCCTTGGCAGAGCACTCAAACTGAAACATGTCCTGAAGACGTTTGCTTTCTCAGATGGACAAACTATGCAAATAATCCCACGAGGCATATTTTTAAAATCTTAAAAATCAGAAGTCAACTTTTTGCCTTGCCAAATGTCTTAGCCCAGATGTGCTCAACCACCCCAAGGCTGAGGGATCACGAGACCACTCTTTATCTCATCCTCTCCTGCAGCATCTGAAATGATCTCTTGGTGCTTCCTTTACTGCTAACTGCAGCAGGAAGTGAGAAGGTGGTAATCCTGTGGGCAGCAGCACTGGCCAAGTGCCCTTTGCCCAGCTGTGGAGGAAGTCCTTTCCCCCCAGTGCAGCAGGATGCTCCAGAGGACTGCTCTCAGCACTCAGGTGTTGCAGTCCCCTCTGTACATTCACATGTATTAACTAATCACTTTTCCAGAGGCCACCATTCTTAGCCAGAGAAAGCAACTTCATCCACTCTTTTAACATCTAAAAGCATGTCCTGCTCTTCATTCAGATGGTTGCAAGGTCTTATCTTTAACAAGGAGAGCGTGGCCAAGTGACCCAGCAGCTCTACCAGACCTCAGCAAAGCTCTTGTGTGGCAAAGCAGCTGGCTCCAGTGTCTCCCCAGGGGCTCCAGGGAAGGCTAAGGTGCATCATTTTCAGGGGAGCATGAATCAGACCATGACATTATGTGAATCAGAGAAAGCTTTACTTGTTCCCAGACCCCATTCACCCTACGATTCCTTACTCATCTTTGTGTCATGAAGTTCCCTCCACCCACTCCTCCTGACCTCTTTGGGAACTGAGTGGGAAGTAAGACCTCTTTGAGGCCCAGGAGACAGCACGATATGCCACGATCCTCCTTATCATGCTTTCCTGCCTAAAATCCTTGGGTGGTTCTGGACACTCTCCTTCCTTGACATATGGTGGGAAACGGTTGCGGCAGCTTGCACTGAATACTGGGTGAAAGGGAGGTGGTAAAAGGAAGAAATGTCCATCCCATCTCCTCACAGACACCTGCTGCCACCTGTGAGAGGACAGGATGGCCAAGAACCCTGTGGAAGGCAAACAAGTCAGTGCAACAGACTCGCTAATCCCAGGTGTCTGCTTGAGTTCTGGATGAGCCTAAAATTTGCTGGCTAAGGTGAGGCCAACACGGGAGGGAGCCTGTGGGTTTTCTAACCATGAACATGGGCAGCAGGGTCAATGGGCAGTCAAGGAGGACCAGAGACCTAAGAGCACCATGCCAAAGGGAGAAAAGTCAGGGAGAGTGATGGGTGTGAAGTAGCCTTATGTCCCACAAACCCCAACCTGACGTTAGGGCACCGGCTCCTCCCGGCTGGCTTGGTGGGTCTCACCTTGTGTTGCTTCCACATGGCGCCCAAGGGTTTGACGTCGTGCTTGCCGTGCTTGCCCTCCTCCAGGCACTGGTAGCACACGGGGCTGCGGCAGCTCACGCAGTACATGCTGTAGTTCTCCAGGTCGTGCTCGGCGCACGTCGGCAGTTTGC